TCTTTAAATTGTTAGCAAGATTTACTTATTACCTATCTAAGTTTGTTACCAAAAGGTATCTCCATGTACCATCTGCTTATTAATTATTTACCCTTGACTACTTCCCTATGAAAACACAAATATGATACAAAATTAGTTACCAGAATGAACAAATACCATTAAAATGGTAACAAGACATCTAATGAAGTGCATGCTGCCTATGATGCTGTACACATTCATAAGGATTAGTAAAATTTCTTCTAGCAGGCCACAGAGGAGCTAAAGTGCTATGGTAATACAAGGAAATGTACAAAACCGAATGTTTATCCAACCAAAGAAGAAAAGCTGAATTTATGAAGTCATATAAGTATTTTTAAATCTTAGAATATACTGACGAAAGAAATAAAAGGCATAAGTGCAGATGGCAGATGAATGAGAAGGATATTGTTGATAAAAATAACAAACTAAGAAAAGTTTTTAAACAATAAAATTGAGAAATTTTTAGTACAGTAGCTTATAAAAATTAAACAAGGAAAAAACAGTACTGGAGAAAAGCAATGTGAATTTAAACATCACAAACATTACAACAGTCGTAAGTGCATATTATTAATAAGTTTAATTGCTATATACATATAGATATAATGGGCCTATTACTAGAAAAATATAATTAATCACAAGAGAAATAGACAATTACCTAGTACTATAACTTTTGTATGACTACTTAGAACACTTTGCTACAAAGAAAAGTTCAAGGAAGTAGAGTTTTATCCAAAAAATGTCTGTATTTTTATCCAAAAAATGATTTGAAAATGTTCAACAAAATATTAGCAAGCCAAAAAAAGTGAATAATTAAAAGAGAAACTTAGTCCAGGGTGGTGAGTTTGGTTTCAATTATGACAGAAACAGATGTAGTTCATACATATAACATACTAAAGAGAAAATTATTAACTATGTTAACTAATGTAACAAAATACATCATAAAATAATTTTTTATATTTAGAAATATAACACAAACTCTGAGCATCTAACATCAGAAAATTAAATATATTTTTAAAGCATAAAATATATTTGAATGTTGACAAATGGAAAAGTATACTTATGTTTGATAGATGGGCAGGAAAACAAAAAATTTAAAATATTACTACTCTAAAAATCAGCAAAAGTTAAGTATACCCATTTGTTTCCAACTACTGACCATTACACTGTTGCTCCTATCATGCATAGAAAAAGAACTGCAATTATAATATCAAACATGAAACAAGTTTTAAAACAGTATCATTAATTGTAGATTTTATAAATGCCTATACTTGGAGCCCAAAATAACCACCTGTATGATTTTAAAAAATGGAAAAATTTAGGCAAAATTTAAAATTCAAATTAATATTAAAATACTATCATTCCTAGACATCAGCTACAATATGCAGTATAAGTAAGGTAAAAAGGCATAAAATATCAGTATAGTATTGGCTTTCTAAGACAAACATTTAAAAATTAGTATAAAATTATAATCTCATTCTTAAATTTAATAAATAAATAGGGAAAATGAGGTACAGAATAGAATGGACAACTATCAAACTGGAGAGAAAGAATTATTATATAAATTGTCATGTTGAAAAATATAGATTATAGCCCAATTTATCAAGATGCTCAACATGCCTCTAAATTTCTAATTATTTTTACATATATAAGTGAATGTGTATGTGCACCTTGAATCTAAATGTAGAACTGTAAGGAAGAACTTAATATAAGAATGATAATAAATGCCTAAAGAAAGCAAGAAAATATTCTTTGACAGATACCAGCTTTAACAGATAATAATGGTAATGAAAATATATGTAATGTATTACATTATTTACACAAGAATATTTATTCATAAGACAGAATTAAGAACCTAGATTCAGAAACTTAATTTGCAAACGCTTCCTTTAAGAAAATAAAAAAGCCTCCAAAAATATATGTATAAGGATCAGATATCGAAGTGGATAAAAACTAAATAAATATTTGACCCCTCACCTATAAAAATGAAGGTGAGATGGATTTCTGACCAAAATGTAAAATTATTAAGATTTTAAAAGACAATGTAGAACATCAGTATAATCAACACTTAAAATATGTTTCTTAATTTAACTACATCAAAAATAAGTACTGTTCCTTAAACTGTACTTGGAGATGTTTTAATTCAGCAAAATGTAAGATTTTTTTGTGACACATAACTACCAAAAGAGACCAACTAGACTGAGCTGACAACACAGTCTGGATCCATAAGAAAGAGAAAACAATCAGAAATTGGAAATAGAAATAACAAGAAATTTATCAAAAATGAAAAAAATAATGAGGCAGAGGTAAGACAAATACTAACCATATTAAAAATTTAATACAAGAAAATTTAAGTGACAATGAGGTACCACTTCATGCCATCAAATTACAAAACAATATTCAGACACCATTAAATGGTGATAGCAACGTACAGTAATGGGGATTCTTTCCATTACTGATTGAAATGAAATCGTCAGAACAATTTTGCAAAAGTTTGTCGTGGCCAAATAAAGTTGAAATATGGATTCACTGTACATACAAATCGACTAATCTACTATTAAGTAAATATTGTAGTAAAGTATTATCTACAACCCCTGGACAATCCACAGGGAAGCTTGCAGGAATATTACAAAGAATAATGCAAGCTGGGGAACTATTCAAATGTTCAAAAAGTGGAGAATTTATAGAAATTTAAACAGTAAAAATTAATCAACTGAAATTGCATATACTGACATTAATCTTAAAAATAATTTAGATTTCAAGAAGAAAAATCATAAAATGTGACTCAGTTTTTGAGAAAGCTTAAACACAGGCAAAATGTAACAATGTTTGTTTAAGGATAAATACACAGATGGTAACTGACACTGGAGAAAAAGAATTAAACACAAAATTTAAGTCTTAGAGGGAATATGACAGCACGAATGTTCCTTCTTCTTGGCCTAGTTCCATAATACACTGATTTTTAAAAATGTTTCACTCTGCTTCTGTGTGTGAATGAGTGTGTGTGTGTGTGTGTGTGTGTGTGTGTGTGTGTGCATGTGTGTGTGTAAAACACTTGTTTATGATATGGCATACAATATAAAGATAAAAAATTAATCTATTGCATTTTTATATCTTTCAGGGCATCATGTAAAAGATTTACAAGATTTTAAATTGAACAAAAATTTGTACTGAAAAATACTTATTATTACCGATTTCCTTTGTCAGGTTTCTTTTGGTCCAGATGGAGATGAGAACATAAAATCTGTGTCTCTCTACATGTCTGAGAGGACAGTATGAAGCAGAAAGAAACTTATTAGTACAAACAGAAGACTGGTGCACCCATTCATGGGAATGTAACTTGGATGGATTAAGAAATACTAATTTTATGAGTTTATATGATCAAGTAATTGGCCAGTCATCTTTACTTTTAGGTCAATTCAGCATATGAATGTGAGAAAGATAACTTGACCTGTTTATGGGCACAGTGCTACATGGCTGTAATCCTGCCACTCTGGAGGCTGAGGCCGAAGAATAAAAGACAAGAGCTAGGATTTGAATCCAGGTCTGTGTCTCCCATTTGTATGCAAATGATATTCTATGATTTAGACAATATTATAGTATGATAAAAACTGGCTCTTTAGCTCTATAAATCATAAGCTACTTTAATTTGGTTGTAACTGAAAATTCTTAGGGAGTCAACTTTATTTTATTTTTTACAGCTTTGGTACTATAATACCCACTAAAGTTGTTCTTAGGTCTAAATCTAAATAGTATCTAGTACAAACCAGGTATTGAATAAATTACTGGTAATTTTATTTTTAATTTGAAGCAGCTTTAGTCAGTAATGCTATTTAATCATGTCCAAAAAAATCAGCATCTTCAAGTTGTAAAGAGGAAGAGATGGTTGGATGAATACAGAGATGGTCATACTAATACAGGCAAAAAAGATTCGAGAAGTCATGGTCGATACGGAATGATAATGAAATCTGGAAGAGGCTGATTCTCTTATTGTCTTTGGACAAGCTACTTTAATGAAGGGGGGTGAGATTGTTTTTGGGAAAAGAGAGAGAGAGAAAGAACAAAGTGAAGGAAGACAAAATAGGTCAATAGTTCCTGAAAGTACAGCCATGTGTAATTTCATGACTACTTAAACACTTGGTTCCAGTTCTCCTGAATGAATTGGGAGGAATGCTGGCCCTGAGAAGCTAATTCTGTGTGTAGTCGTAGTTGTGTTGCTGATTTCACCCAAGTACAGTGCCTGAGTGCAGTTAAAATGTCTCCATCAAGAGTAGCTGTTCTGCTTCTGTGAAATCCTCACTATGAAAGCAGAGGCACTCGCCAAATAATAGGATATGGATTTCCTAGCTTCCTTTATTTACTCACTTACACTGAATTTACATTTATATACTCTTTTGCATCTTTGCTTCCAACAGTCTCTTTTTTTCAGTTTTTCTAGAAAGACAAACTCTCTATTACTTCTAATTCTAATCCAAGATTACAATCCTGTTACACATGTCCAGATCTTCTTGATTGCATTTAACTATTTATTTGTCCAAGTATTTCCAGCCTCAGGTCCCCAGGTGCTGTCATGCCCCGCTGCAATGACTTGTCACACCCTCTTGCAATGACTAAGAACTGTGGAACCCCTTAGACAATGTGCATCGCTTTTCAATACCTTGTAATGTTGTGTACTTTATCTCTGAGAAGTGAGCGGTGCACAAAATACATAGCCCACCAGGCCATGTCTCATTAACAAATCCCAATATATCCCCAGAAATGACTGAAAAGGATAATCAATTTCTAAGTGTAATGACCATGTTTATATTGGAAAGGATACTCATTATTTTTGGTTTTCCTGAAATTTGAACTCAATTCTGTCCACTGTTGATCACCAATGTCCCCAGAAGACAGTGTGCAGAAGAAATACTGATTCAAGATGTTTTCAGTGAGAACGAGATACTGCAGTAAGTAAAGCAGACTTTGGCTTACACTGAACTTCATACCTGAGCGCATTGCCTCTCTCTGAATGCTCTCATAGTCATGCCAGTCCTTTCTTCTCAAACCATCTGTCCATGAATAGAATTGCCCATCTCCCAGGCCCAGTGGGAATGTCTGTGGAAAAGGAAAGTATTCAAGTATAAAAAGGAGGTAATTCCTTCTGCAGGGAGGTAAACACAGCCAGGTACATAACAGGCAATCAAAGAATATTTGTTAAATAAGTGATTCCTCTGCGTATAGTGGAAAGAAAACTAATGTTAGTGACTGGATAAACACATATTTTTAAATCATTTGCTTAAACCTTTAAAATGAGAGCGTCTCTTTCTCACAACTCCTACTATTTCCTATTTTATTTCACCCAGAATAATTATTAATTCAGTGTTTTGTTACATCTCAACCCAAAATCCTCGCAATTTTCTATGCCCAGGGTAAATCTTGGTAATATCACAATTTTGGTTTTGAATTAAATTAATTTTGTTTGGAATTTACAGTTTCTTTCATTTTAATTAATCATTTTTTTAATGGTGTTTGGGCAGTATTATCACAGTGTATCAGGTACTGAGTTAAATACCCTGTGTGCAGAAGCTTATGTAATGTATACATATTGGATTGTAAACTCCCACTTTTTTGTAAATTAAACTGAGACCCAGAGAACTCAATAATTTTAATTAAACCACTGTGACCAAGCAAAGTTTTGGGCCAATTCTGTTAAGACAGAAATTATACTGTTAATAACTAATAAGTAGTATATTCTGCTAAAGTATAGCACATGCTTAAACTTAAAGTTGAAATTATCGCCCATGCATCAGCTTTATTTTCAAAACATATTTTATGTTTTTCTTTAACCTAATATGTTGCAATGTCAACTTGGAAATAATTTTTATATGCATTGCTAAAGCTTGCCATAGTTTATTTTGGTAGCATAAAAACTATTTTGAATGAAACTTATCTTTGCAATTTTGGTAGTCAAGGTAATGTAAAGTAATCTTTCATATTAATATTATATTTTTTCTTTTATTTCATTTTTTCTTGGAGGTAAAAAACAACTACAGAAGGAAGACAATTTTTAAAAGTAGAGAAAAATGAATTTAGTCAAAGATTAGTAATTTTAGTGAAGTAGTATGATTTGTCAGGGTTTTCCAAAGCAAATAAAATGCCATATTTCTAGTTTTAGACAATAAATCCATTATGCTTATAAAAATGATAGCCCATCTTTAAAGCTTACAAAAGTTCACTCTTCGTGAAATTATAAAAATAGGACATATATTTTAAAAAGTAGTCAAAACCATACAAAAGAATTTCCAAAGCAGGTGAATATTTACTTGTTTTTGTGATTTCAATGCTCATTATGGTGGCATCCTCTGGAGGGAGGTGCCTGAACAGAAAACAAACTCACAAAAATTATGGTAATTATTATATAAAATATTAACAATAATGACAAATTTTAAATGGAAAATGAAAGGAAAGATATGGAAAATAAGAAATGAATGTGGTAAAAATAGAGGAAATTTTAAAGAAGTTATTAGAAGGATATGTAGCAAATATTTTAGAACTGTTAGACTATTTTTTGATGTTAGAAATTTTATCAAGATCAATGATAAATGTATAATCAAATAATTTTAAAGTGCACAACCTATATTTTGTCTCAACCTTCAAAGCTGTATTTACACTGATAAATAATGATCACAAATAAAAATGTCCAACACTGATATGGATAATACCAGTTTGCAAGCATGGCTTTCAAATTTCTGACATAAAATGTGGAAATGTTGTACATTTCAATATCTCTCTGGTTACCAGATACACTCCATTTCCTCTATTTTGATATGTTCAAGGTACAGAATTTTCATCTCCTGCTAAGACAAGGTACATTGAACACAAATAGTGATAATTACTTTCTTCAGAAACTAACTGAAAATGACAATAAAGTGCCTGATGTGTCACAAAAGCAGGTAACTGACTGACAAAAACTTCTTGTAAACAGCTGAGAACAATGGAGATAAAAGCAGATATTTTTATGCACTGTATTTGAAAATACTGAAGAATTTGAGACAATAATTCTACAAAAGTGAAAGTAACAGAGTAATTTTTATAAGAGGCCGCTGGACCCTCCTAGATTTGTTCTCCACTCTAAGGAGGTGATTTTGAGGGTCATCCATGACGCTCTCCACCCACAGAAGACTGGAGTTTGAGAGAAATACATGCTTCGGTTGTTAGAAAGTGTGGAATATAAGGGTGCAAAGATGAACTGAAAAGGTTTCTTGACAGTTTACATATTTTAAACATGATCAGTGAAACTATCTTCCTTCACCAGACTTCTAGAAAGCTGACATACGGCATCTTATGCTAGTAGACAAAAGGCAGAGATATTCCTCTCTGGAGAATCACAATCAAAAGCAAGAGATATGGTACTGAATCCACCCACACTTACTAACAATGTACACAGATACTTTTTACCCAGCATCAACAGGCTGCCAGGGATTATCAGGCATTTGAAAAGGCATTCAACATATGATTCAGAGGCCAAGAGGTTTAAAAGAAAGGAAGAAAGAAAAAAAAAAAAAAAGAAACAAATTTACAGCACAGGAAACTTCAAAAAGATCAGTTTCCTGAGAGAACTTTAAGAAAAGAATTTCGTTTGGAATAGCAAGTTAAACAACAAGAGGGATTTAAAAAAAATATTAACGAGTTCTTGAAAAATAAATTAAGGTTAAAGAATATTAGTAAATAGAAAATCAAAAAAAAAAACAAACAAAACTAAAACAAAAAACAAGCACCAGGAGAGATAGAGACCAAAAAAGGTACAATATTGAGGTCTCGTCGTAGCTGGCCAAAAGGGTAACAGTTCTGACTATACAAGAAAGATTGAAACTGTTTGTAAAATAAATGAATGAATAAGTAAGTAAAAAAAAGAATAAAAATAGTATAACTTCAAAAACTACACTGAGTTTTTTCAGAATGATTGGAAAGAAGCAATGGTACATATTAAAACTAACCAAATGAAAAGTTGCTGACTAAGATTAGAAGATAAAAAATATACAAGAAGGAAAGGACAACTGTTATCCATGTTTTTATTCAGTTATGAATAATCTAAAGCAAACACTGGCTAAATTGAAGTTTGTGCTATCACTACACTGGAAGTTGAGGGAAAGGACGGTGCAAGGCAGTTAAACAAACATAGGAAACTATAGAAAATCAAAAGAGAGATTCAAAATGGTTAAACATTATAGTATAAAAGTAACACACAAGTCATCTACAAATATGCAGTCATATAACAGAATAAAGATAAAAGATTCCTGTAGTTAGCCAAACATCTGATATTCCTAATATAGAAGAGGGAATGGGGTTGATGGTAGTATTACAGTTTTCACAGTATTATTGCATATTATTTTTTAATATTACCTTTCATAAAAATCTGATATGATTATTGTTGAATAATCATGACCATGATTAGTGCTCCAGCAAGGTGTACTGATTTCATAAGAATATTTTAGTAGGCACAGTGGAGCACATTTGTAATCTCAGCACTCTGAGAGGCTAGGATAGGAGAATCTTTAATGGAAGCCCATCTGGGGAAAGTCAGTGACAGGGAGACCCTGTCTCAAAATTAAAAATACCTAGGGATGTGGCTTACTGTAAAGGCCCTGGTTTCAACTCTGGTACTGTGAAAACACACACACACACACACACACACACACACACACACACACACACACAAACAACAACAAAAAACCCAGAATTATGATCACAGAGAAATCAGGTCAAAATAAACTGTTTGTCACTATACTTTAATAAAGGCTATCTGACGACTTGCTACAGTAATATCTTTTCTGTACATACCACCCCTCCTCATGGCATTGTCTGGCAAGGTTTTAGAAATATAGTTCTCCAGTCTCAATTCATGCTTATTAAATTAGAACCTCTGGGTAGAACAGAAACACAGAAATCTGTGCTCTAAGAAGCTTTCCAGATGATTTTTGAGGTCTGCTAGGGGTTGGAGACTTCTAAGCCACAGAAATTGGAAAGTAACATAAGTATCACATTAAGACAAGAAGTCCAAATATTTAGGATAACATATTTCACAATGTACCAAAAAACATTGTCCCATCCAGCAGATGACTTATTATAAAGCTTTGGTGTCCTTGTACCCTCTTCAAATGCCTAAATCGTGGGTGGATAAATCTAAACCAACTCCAATATATTTGTACAGACTATCTTGTTCCAGAAAGCTTAGCCATTCAGTAAATTATCCCTTAGTAATCTGACCTTTCTTTTCGTAAAAGCAATCTCAAATGCCCAGATTCATTTGCTTTTCTTCTGAGTTATCATATCATATGCCTTTGTATGATTGTACTGGTAGAGATCTATTATCTATGACCTTGTAAAATAAATATAAAGTTTATTGAGTCTTCACGAAACATATATTTCAGATCTGTTCTTAGGTTAGCCATTTATTATGAGCAACCACCCTTAGTTTTTCACCTTGGGTTCATTCTGGTCATTGTCAAGTTGCTACCAGTAATAAAATTGAAAAAAAAAATAATATCAGAATGCAGGAGAGAATCCACTAAGTATAAACCACATGTAATAGTTATAGCTGGATTTCTGAGCCTATGAGAAAAATGATATGCTTTTGAAAAGGTTAAGAAAAAAAGATTTCAAAGGTAAACTATTACCCTTGGCAATGTATTTAAGGGACAATGGATTTGAGAAGTGACAAACTCAAATACCTTCTGAGGTCATTATTAGGATAGACATGAAAGGAAAAATTTGCTCTACTCTAGGGACTAATGAACTCTGGAACTCCTTACTAGAGTTATTAACTTTTTAAATAATCTCCAAAAACTTCCCAAGGGCTGTCAATATGGGAACATCTAGCCAGAACTTGTTCCTTGACTCTTATGTTAGAGAGGTCTTTTTTAATATAATTGCCGATGGGGTTGACATTGAAAAGACACATGTTTGTGTCTCAAGAGAAGATAGCCTTTATTCTTAAATCTGTCTTATATTTTATATTTCAACCAACAAATAGACTTTTTATTCTCACAAGCAACCATATATGAACTACCCTATTTCTTTTGATGGAAAATAATATTATACAGTGCAAAGAATGG